TTGTTGTTATTTATATTTATTATCATTATCATCGTACTTATCATCACCGTAATCATCATCAAAATCAATGTTATAATCATAATCAATAATAATAACTTGGCCCTTTTAGCAGATTTAGGTTCAAATTCAGATAATGTATTACGTCAAAATGTCGATGTATCATGATAACTGGTTTCCACAGTTCAAAAATACAAACAATACTTATTTTCTATATATGCATGGATATGATGACAGTGTTAAATATTGATTTTAATTGAATTGGATTAAAAATTAAATTGCACGTAATGAGTTTTGGGAATTATACTTGGCAGTATTAGTAGTAGCAGCAGCAACAGTAGCAGCAGCAGCAGCAACAATAGGTTGATATTATGTAGCATACTTTTATTATAGTTAATACAAGTAATCGAAAATCTATCAAACCCACTTATTTTCTTAGAAAATTGGATGTGATAAGGAGTTTGATTCGAATATGATGGAAGATGATTGTGGAGTATGTGGAGGGGATAATTCTCAATGTCAATATCCCAAGGAAACATACACGGATACGTTGGACACACGTAAATAATTATTTAAACTTTATTATTGTTTCATAACCTGTGCAATATTTAAAATGCTAAAGGTTGGTTTATATTCCCTCATGGGTTTAGGTGCGTTGTAGTTTACGGCCAGCGAGTTCTTTTCATTTGTGGCGCCAGTGAGAAAGGCTGTACTGTGTGTAGGCCCCTATGTGGTGGGAGGGGTGTGTTGGGTGTAGGTGGTGTGCAGCAGAATTGACGTCAGGGTTTGCCGACGAGGGGGAGACGCCCCCGACGAGAGCAAAATAGGCCGCTGATCTGGCGTCACTCAAACTCTTTTGAAAGTGGTCTTGGGGAATTTAAGAGTTTCAAAGGATTACATTATTTAATTTATTTTAGAGTCTACTAATATATGTAGAAGATACACTGGCGCCACCCCTGGTGTACAGCCATCACACCATCCACACCCCTGCCTAACCCTCCGCTGGGAAGAAAAAACAATTCGTCGGAGAATTGTAAACCAAGTCTTATAGTATAGTTCTAATCAAAGATGCGGATTATATGAATGATTTGGACTATTGTGTTTATCATCATCGTTAACATCAACGTCATTATCATCATCATTCTCATTACCATCATTCTTCATAGTTTACATCATTATGATCACAATCATATCATCATCATCATCAATATCATCAGCTTCATCATCATTATGTAACCTCGTATACAGGTTTCTTTACTTAATGTGTACTAAAAATTTTTCAGAAATAAAACTTATCGCTCGAGTTCCCTCTGATGCTCATAACATTATTATATCTCGGCCGTACGATGACCTGTATGACATTGGTAAGAATGGTGATCATTGTTCATTTCTCAACATCATTTTGTAATTATATTTTTATGATGTATTCAAACCATAAAATGTGTATTATTAAATTTGTTAAAAGCTTAAGCTTTTATACAATACTCGGACTCGATCGTAAAATATGAAATTGTAATATTCAGGTTATGTATAATTATATGACCATTATTTGCAGTACAGTACATCAGGAACTAGTGTTGTGCAACTTCGCATGTGCCAAAGAGAGTGAAGGATTAGTTTCTGTAATCATAGTTGAATTCCAAACGAAGCCTCAATGGCCGAGTTGGTAAAGATGTTAGCATAGAAAGCAGGAGTTTCTGGGTTCGAATCTCGGTCACAATCTCATATTCCTCATATTTTATTGTTATATATTACTTTAAACGGCAAATTTAATTTTATAGTTATTAGCGAAGCAAAGACAGGAAAGATTTTGCTTCAAACCAAAGATGTAGATCAAGAAAGTAGACAAGTTGTAGAAGCACACACAATGTTTATCATCACAACGAATGACATTCAACAACAGATTGCGGCAAAGGGACCAATGAATATCGACATAGAAGTTTCTGTAAGTCTCCGAAAATGTTAAATAAATGTAATAATTTAAATACCTTATATTTTATATTATTACATGTATCACAGGGCATCTAATTGCACATTCCAATTTGATTTCATATAGGCTTTTTATTGATCATAACCATATTTTGGTAAACACACCAAATATTTTATTTTACAATATTTTGCGTTGCTCTTGTTATTTTTGCTCATAATTTTAGTTTTACTTAATTTTCTGTGCTGCAGTCTTTGAAATAAGTTGGTGATTTCTTTGTTCAATTTCCTCATGGTTATACTTAGAGCCTAAGCTGCACCTCTTGTGGTAAGGGCTTTTAACCTTTGTTTTACACCCGTTATCATTACCACTTACTATTTGTATAAGAAAACCACACACACACACACACACACACACTCACTGGTAACTCAAGTATGATATTATTCATAAATTAAAAAAAAAAACATCAAGTTAGGGATTAACATAGATACTATAAATACAAGATGAAGCACTCGCATAGCAAAAATGAGACGAAAATTGGTCCAAACGTAAGCGGCGCCCTTCTTTTTTTATAATGTTTTCTATACTTGGTCCAGACGGATAGGGCGCCCTTCTGTTGCTAAGTATCAAAGATCTTATAAACACAAGATAGCGTTCTCCGCGATTTACGCGTAACAAATAGAAGCGTCG